TAAATATATATATATATATATATATATCAATTAGAATTGCACAAAAAATCTCAGCACGTTTTAACCGGAACCGGGGAAGGCTGTCTAATAAACTGCTTCAACTTGAAAATTTTGATAATATCAAATGAGTGTATCTGTTGAGTAGCCTTGATTATCTTATGCAATGCTGCTTTAGATCGCATTCTTTGCATTGCCGCCATCATCATAAAGGGCTTTATTCCTTCTTTATGCTTCTTGGGGTTGTCCTAGCAACAGGACAAAATTACCTGGGAGGGTATGACAGGCAGACAAAAACTCAGGCCTATATTCGTATATAGTAGCTTTCGATACTGTTAATAGAGTTTGAATAGGAATCGCATTCACCCTAGGCCGCACGAGGTGGTGTATGACAGACAGTTGAGTTCTTCTACAGTAAAATGAATTGAGCCACACTGAATCAGTAACGAATACTTAAGAACTCATTTTTTATCAGATATACTAAAATCATTGTATTCCTAATAGGGAGAATTTCGAGACCAACATTAGTTTTGAAGCAAATTCTGCATTAACCCCTTGAGTCGCTTAAGATGAAGGAGGCCTACTCTTATCCATGCAAGAAAATTCCCTTATCAGCCTGTGATCCCTTTATGGGATCCAAGATGAAAACAGTTATTATTCGTGATCACAACATATTCACTGTGAACATCAATTGTATAAGCTTTGTGTAAAAGTGCATGATAAAGAGGTTCGAAGGTCAATCTCGCCAAAAGATGGCTGATTCTCGTTGTAGTACAGCCTTAATACGATGTTCAGATTGACGCCGTTCAAGAGGCATCCTCCCTCATTTGGGGTTGAAATGGGCTGAGCTTACGCCCATTATATGATAGGCATTATCAGAGCTATGAAACATTCTTGTATAAATCGCACGTTATCACTGGGCCAAGACGCAATATAGTTTTTGTATGCATAGGCAACTAAAAGTTTCGAAATGTACAAATTTGCCTCATCTACACTTTCGCCAAAGATGTGGAGCGGAAGAGACCTAGTTTAGTTTAAATATTTCCTTTTCCTCATCAGGCAATGATACCTTAGCAGTGTCAACTAGAGGAAGCGTAAGGGGAAAAACGCCCATTTTGGCTTTTCGTTGAAGGGTGACATTGAGATCCAGCCCAGTCTGGATGAAAATGTCCTAATCCCATTATGAGACCTACTCATTTGTTTGTTGGATGATTCATCCATAAATCCTTCGTCCCTTTATTAGACCTTGGATGAATGTGGTTATTATTAAAAATCTCAAAACTACCTTTTCATGGTAGATACGAAGATAAACTTGGTTTCGATGAGTCTCTTGAGATACCATAGTTAAGAGGACGTTCATTTCGGATGAAAGTGAATGAAGAAGAGATTCGTTGGTCGATCTCACCAGATGAGGACGGATGAATCTCGTTGAACTGCAGTCGTTTGGCTTTTATACGACGTTCAATTAAATGCAGTACACGAGATCTCTTCTTTCGTTTCAGGTGAAAATGGGTAGACCCTTCGTCCATCATATGATGGACATCATCAGAGCTAGGAGTCATTCTTGTAAAAGTTTTACGTTAACACTAGGCCAAGAACACTATCTTATTTCTTATATAGGCTCAATTGGGACAAAAGAAAATTTAAAACCGAGACAGACCGATATAGAGTGGTTTGGTTAATTTCTTTCATAGTGGTCCTGTTATTTTTGCTCGATTGTATGAGTATGTGTATTTGTGCGTGTTAGTATCTATATGAAATACTGTTCCTAAATCAGACTTGTCAAAGGTTAAATCTCAGGTTCTGATCCTCAAGACCTAATGATCCAAGGCTGTCTCTGTCAAAGATTTTCTTTTGGGTCATTAGGTCTTGAGGATCAGAACCTGAGATTTAACCTTCGACAAGTCTGATTTAGGAACCGTATTGCATAT